CATTAAAATATCTAAAGTATTATCGCAGATATTAAAAAAATATATTTTATTTTTGAAAAATTTACCACCCCCTATCTCAAAAGTCGAGACGTTTCTGAGTAATGTAATAAACTGATGAACAAGTGTAATAAATTCTCTATCGTTGAATAAATTCTTGTTGTTATACCGAATAAACAAAACATGCTTCTTTTTATTAAATATGAAATACATACGTTAAACCTTTGTAGTAAACTTATATAAGATTTAAGGTGTGAAGCTCCCATCGCCAGAAAACGCAAAAAAACTGCAGCAGCGTCTTCTAGGGCGAGCCTGTAGGGAAAGAACTTTCACGTGTTCTCTAAAATTCCATAAAAAAAGAGGACCCACTTCGATTCTCAATCTCATGTTTTCCTTGGTAAAAAGTATGTAAAGTATACGAGGTGTGTTCAAAAAGTAAAATGGCTTTTACGTTTTATCAGGAAGTGTTTATTTATTTATCAAAATTAATATTGTGCCCTTGGACAGATACAAAAATTTCATTTGCAATTAGTCAAGAACATTCTGCAAGCAATCTTGCAAACTGATTTTATTATCAGCCTGCTCGTATTATTATGTGATTGACTGAACGAAGATCGCACAATGCAGCGTATTTATTTAACTTGCTTAAAGGAGTCCAGTGTTACATTAACTTCTGACTGATTTTGTGTAGGCAGTCTATTCGTATTGTGCAAATTTCTTTTCAAAATCCCAAGATTTTGTAGAAATATTCCATATACGTTTTGCTATGTGTGCCATTTTGTTGTAGTGAAGACATAAAATTACATAGTCAAAAAATTGGCAAACCTTGGGCACCACATATTCTTAAGCGGGCTCAGGGTTTGGAATAATGGAACCAGGCGATCCCTACATTTTGGAATAGATATGATATGGAGAGAGCCAACAAATCACCATGATTGCTATTTCTTCGTGTGCAATGTTCGTACATATAATACCAAAAATTTGAAAAATAATACTTGAGAATTCAGCGAATTTAGAAGAATTTTATGCAAATTCTTTGTTCCCCTTTTTTTACAAAATTACAAAATAGCCCGTCCATTAACGAAAGTCGCCTTACTTTTAGCACACACTTCGTATCAAGTAGGGTAACCACCCATAAATTCGTCAGCGACAACGGTCCTTAGCGTCGAAACCGCGTGATTCATCGCAATAATAACATTTCCGCTGCTCAATTTGGAAAAATAACGCCAAGTCTGTGCGCAAGTTGAATTATAATAATTACGTTACTGGTTCCACTAGATTCAGGCCGCTCCGAACGGTTTCAGTACTGCATTTTTTTTTCCTACTTTCATATTTCTATCGCTGCGATGGGATTACTGAAAATGCAATTATCTAGCTACATCGTGCTTTCAATTATTCGGTAGTTATTAGCCCACATTTGTTTGGTTTTAAGATCCGTCTTTCCCATGGCCAAGTATGTACTTGATGATTTAACACAATAAATAAGTACTTTTTTCTTTAACACTCAATATTTCGTCAATTTATTTGTTGACTTCTTCAGGAGTGAACTAAAATTTAATGAAAACAACAGGTCAAACTATATAACAGACAATTAAAACAATCGTGAGAAATACTTACAAAATTAGAGTCTACCACATAGTTCCTCAAAAACCATACTTTACAGTTAAGGTAAATGAACGAAGCGACATAATGAAACAAACGGATAAACACTTAGTATACAATTCTTAATAATGGTAGGCAAAAGTTGCGCTAACGGGGGTAGCGAAAAAAACAAAAAAAACAATCAAAAAAAGAAAAAAAAAACAATCGATCTAAATACTGACAAAAAAAAGGCATCAAAATAACCTACTCCGTGGATCAACAATGCAACGTGAATACGCTACTCGGTGGCCGAACATTACATTATCTGTGGTTTAACTGAAAAATGTTACAGTATATATTGCTTATTTGTTGTGTATCAGACTTGTAATTAATTGAATCTTTGTTTTCGTTAATATGGCACATTTCAAGAAACAATCGGGTTTTATAATTATTGACACATTGCAAAATTTTTGGATTGCTGTAGTCAAATTCATGTCCTGTTTTTATGTAATGCTCAACCACTGCACAAGTATTCTTATGAATACGGCAATCACTTTTATGCTGTGTTTTTCACTCCTGAAGAAGTCAACAAATAAATTGACGAAATATTGAGTGTTAAAGAAAAAAGGAGCTTTCTATTTCTTTGTTTTTTTTTCTCTTAACCACGGACCGCTACCCGATATCCTTTGAATTCAAATAAGTTTAGTACGGTCGATATAAGAAGAAATTCCAAGTGTTAGTATATATATATATATATATATATATATATATATATATATATATATATATATTCTCACGTATTGATTCACGGATGGAAAAATGTGATGACACTATATTCCGGGATATCATCCGTTCGCTCGTTGAACTCCGACTGGAATCCTGCATCCGACTGGAATCCTGCAAATCTTGCATCCGACTGGAATCCTGCAGACGTTTCGCCAAAATCTCACTTGGCATCTTCAATGCTCGCGCTCCGAAAACACTCGAACCGAACCGAACCGAAGTGTTTTCGGAGCGCGAGCATTGAAGATGCCAAGTGAGATTTTGGCGAAACGTCTGCAGGATTCCAGTCGGATGCAAGATTTGCAGGATTCCAGTCGGATGCAGGATTCCAGTCGGAGTTCAACGAGCGAACGGATGATATCCCGGAATATAGTGTCATCATATATATATATATATATATATATATATATATATATATATATATATATATATATATATATATATATATATATATATATATATATATATATATATATATATATATATATATATATATATATATATATATATATATATATATATATATATATATATATATATATATATATATATATATATATATATATATATATATATATATATATATATATATATATATATATATATATATATATATATATATATATATATATTCAAAATAGGTTCCATTAAAAATAAATACTGCTCAACAACAATCTGTTTAATATGAAGGTAATTTTAAAAAGTCAACAAAATGGTTCCCAAAAATTCCAAAGGTGGAATTTTATTAAAAAAATTAATTAAAAAATAGTATATTTAATAATTTTGGGTTGTAAAAATTAAAAATTCAAAGTTTGGATAAATTAAAAAAATAGACCTAGTTCATATTATTTAAGTATCCTTGAGGTTTATCTATCTTTGAGCGCAAAATTCAAAAATTCAAAAAAAGAATAATATTCATGCATTGAAATAAAATACTACGCAAGAACAATCTGTTTAATATGAAAGCAATTTTAAAAAGTAAGCAAAATGGACTCCAAAAATTCAAAAAGTTAACTTTTTTTAAAAAATAAGATATAAACGGGAATTCAATTTAAATATTTCGTTTATTCGTAAAATTTATTTTTTTCTTCTAATTTGATTATCTTCGTGTCTCTTGTGGTTTTCAATATACCCAGTGATGGACGTCCTTATTTTGGAGCCTAATAATAATAAAAATAACATATTTTTAGTGGAACTTTACATTTACATTTATCTAGTTGCTACAAGTCAAGTCCAAAAAGGAACTAGAAAACAATTTTAAAAACACCAAAGGGTAGTCCCTAATTTTCTCAATTCAACTTATCGAACGTGTACACAAAAAAATAAAGAAAAATACTGTACAATATCTCACCAACAGAAATCTAATTCAGCTAATTACATCTGGATAAATATTCTAGTAGCCTATCCGGTTGCAGTTATTGTACGACTAAAACCACCCTGTAAATATTTCAAAAAATACCGGAAATGGAGGTTATAGCCCTGGATCTTCCACCTTTCCTAGTACAAGAATTTTTCTAAAATAGTAAATGGAGAAACCATGCAGTGCGCCGTAATACTTAATGACGTCATCGCGCCTTGACAGCCCCCGGAATAGTGATTTTCATATGGATTTTTGCAAAAGATTTCGAACAGCGTATGCGCTAGAGGAAAACCGCAAATACAAAAACTGTAGCTCTTGATGCGGCCTATGATACTGATCTTGAACCAGAAGTCGCAGAAGAAACGGCTAGAACGGTAGAAATTGGGTGCAGTTAAATTTTAGCAACTATTTTTTAAAAAAATTTGAATTTTTTTTTTGGTAATTTTTGCTTCTAGAAAAATATGTTTTCCTCCATAATCGTTCACTCGGCAAAATTACTTAACCAGCAGACGCGGAAGATCCAGGGCAATAATATTTATTTCGGGCATTTTTTCGATTGTATACAGGGTTATTCAAATTATAGGCAAAAATCTGAAAGACCTAGAAAATTGTAAAAAATATGGCTAATCGCATTAAGAGTTACAATTTTTATATTTGCGTTTTTCGTCTATCACATAATTTGCTCGGGATATTTGAAATATTGAAATCGTTATTTCGGGGGCTGTCAACACGCGATGACGTCATTGATTATTACGGCGCACTGCATGGTTTCAGAAAAAACTTATTTTCTCGAAAACTATTTTCAAAAGAATCTTGAACCAAGACCCTTGGAAAATCCAGGGCTATAATTTCCACTTCGAACAATGATTGTATTGTATAAAATTTCCGTTTTTGTTGGTAAATTATTGGGCGATAAATGCAAAACCGTTAAATATGGGATAATTTTATTCGAACCGTATCGTAAACCGTGTCGTGAGAGAGTTTCAGGTTTCATCAATTATGCAGGGCGCGGGATATTTGAAAAAATATCATTCGATAACGCTATTATTTGCGCAAAATTTTAATATTTACCGATGTTTGCCGTAACTTTGAAGTTCGAAGAGATGTCAAGCACACTTTATACAGGGTGTATTCACAATAAAATGACATCTATTTTGCGAAAGTTCCATAGTGGTCCGCAGGAGTACGATACGGGTTCGGTTGTAAAAGCACTATAATTTTGGATCGAGTATACATCAACAATTTGCTTAAAAAATGACATTTCTCTGTTTCTCCACAGTTGCCTCCAGCACCAACGGAGGCAAATACGTGCCAAGGGCGATCCTCCTCGACTTGGAACCTGGAACCATGGACGCCGTACGTTCCGGGGTGTACGGCAAGCTCTTCCGGCCGGATAACTTCGTGTTCGGCCAGTCGGGTGCCGGAAACAATTGGGCCAAAGGCCATTACACTGAAGGTGCCGAATTGGTGGACGCCGTCCTGGACGTGGTTCGCAAAGAAGCGGAAAACTGCGACTGTCTGCAGGGGTTCCAGTTGACACACTCGCTCGGCGGCGGTACCGGATCCGGAATGGGTACCCTGCTGATCTCGAAGATACGCGAAGAGTATCCCGACAGGATAATGAACACATATTCGGTGATGCCTAGTCCCAAGGTGTCAGACACTGTCGTAGAACCTTACAATGCCACTCTGTCGGTACACCAACTGGTCGAGAACACTGATGAGACTTACTGCATCGATAACGAAGCACTGTACGACATTTGCTTCAGGACTTTAAAGGTGCCGAATCCGAGTTACAGCGACCTGAACCATCTCGTATCACTGACGATGTCTGGAGTCACGACGTGTTTGAGATTTCCCGGTCAGCTGAATGCCGATTTGAGGAAACTGGCGGTTAATATGGTACCCTTCCCGCGTCTTCACTTCTTCATGCCCGGTTTCGCACCTCTCACGTCCAGAGGGAGCCAGCAATACAGAGCTCTGACAGTACCTGAACTCACTCAACAAATGTTCGATGCCAAGAACATGATGGCGGCGTGCGATCCCAGACACGGACGCTACCTTACCGTCGCCGCCGTGTTTAGAGGTAAAGTCTGTTCATAGATATAAGAAAGTGACTAACTGATATGAATTAAGCAAAGACCCGGGCAAGCTGTAAGAATGAAATATGGTCGAACAGGTCCGTACTTTGCTTAGAATTTAATTATTTGGGGTTTTGTTAGGAAAGATACTAAACAATATTTATTTATTTATGTGTGTATTTGTGTTTAAATCTAAAATAAAATTACAAATTATTTTTATTACCAACTTAAATTACTTCAAATTATTCACATAATATATCAGTATCACTATCGCTATCATCGCCTGTTCTAATTATTATTTGTTTTATATCATTTGCAATATGGATATACGATTGTCCTGCTTGTTCTACATATTTAACAGAATTTACCCAACTTTGTGGAGGCATGCTAAAAACTTCGGTTTCTATAAATTTGAGGACATTGGATTTAACACGGGGAAAAACATTGTTACGACGAATGGCAGATTTCACTTGGCGCCAAGCATGTCAATGGGATTAAATATACAGTGGTAAGGTGGAAGGCCTTAAAACTGTATGTCCTGGATTTCTTGCATAATTATCACAGACGTATTCCTTTTGTAGGTTCAAGCTTTGTAGAACCTCAATTAATTGCTTTTTCGTATAATCTTCGTGAAAGTAAATGTTATTATACGTGTAGTTTTGTACTGTTGCTTTTGTGTCACATGAGGAAGGGGTTTTAGTCAACTGTCTACTGTGATAACTTGCATTGTCCAATACAATTACGCTATTAGGAGGAATGTTTGGAACTAGTTTGTTTTTAAACCAACTTTCAAATAAATCAGAGGTGGTGTTTTCATGGTAATCCAGAGAAGAATCTAACTAACTAACCATCTTTAGAGGCAGCATGCAAAATAGTAATTCTTTTACCTCTTTTTGATGGCGCGTTTGTTTCAGACTTATCAGTTGAGTCAACCCAACCCTTTTCCGGGTATCATAGTGTCGAACCAGGTTTCATCCAAGTAAATAATTGGCCTTTGTGGTTCTGCGTAAATCCTAATTTTTTCTAGATATTCCAGTCGCCATTTTGGAATGCTAAAAGATTCCATTAAAACTTGCCTTTTATCAATTTTTTTTAATCTAAAACCCATGTGTTGAATACACTTCCATAAGGTAGTTCTGCCACATTTAACACCGGTTTCATCTTTTTCAAGCCTCGTAATTAAGATATCTAATGTAGACACGCTTTGTTCCTCGTATAACTGGTAAATTTGATGCCGTTTTATATCTTGATCACTTTCATCTACACTCGAGAAAATGTCAGCATCGCTTCTTTTTTTTCTCGCTGAAATGGGATTATTCACTATTTTCCATACAGTTGATGTTTGTGGCCGTTTCTTCTAAAGATGCTTGCTTTCTGGCACCACGTTCAATGAGAGTCAAATAAACATTGTTTATCAGTTCTTTAGTGTCAATAGAATAGTGTTTTCTACATTTGGGCGGGAGTATCTCCTGAGATACACTAGACTCGCAGATATTTTGCATAATTCGCACACGATTCAACACAAGCTAATAAACTTAAACTAAGTAGTATACCAAACCAAAGAATATTAAACACAGGTAGGTATAAAATTATTTTCTATTACGGACCACAATTTAACCTGAATTTAAATTCCGAAAATTTAGGTAATAATCTTGTTGCATTGGATGTTAATCACAACTCTTGAATAATCCCATTCAAAAGCTATTGGTCACTTTCTTAAATCTATGAACAGACCATAATTCCTTTTCTATTTCAATTTACATTCACCCGGTAGAAGTTATTTTGCACAAATTTTTGCTAGAGTAGGCCGGAAAATGTAACTTTCCAAAATTTTAACGAGACCGTGTTTCCCAACGAACGGGCCGTATATACCGTGGGTTAAATTTATCTTGATAACATTTTAATTGTCTGTAACTGTTTTGTTCTTAGAGATATCGAGGTAAAAAATAACTACTCTACAGCAATCTGTATAATATGAAAGTAATTTTTAAAATCAAACAAAATGGACCCCAGAAATGCCAAAATTAGAATTTTTCGAAAACGCTGTATGAGCAAAACATTCTTGTACCAAATAACAGAGAACGAAATATCGGACACTTTTTCGTTCTAATGAAATAGGATATTTATTGACCTTGGAGTCTAAAAGTATTTATCTCTTGCACAAATTGTATAATTTAAATACTTCTTAAGTATTGGATAAATAAAATAAAAAACCAAATCTCATAAGCATTCTTGAGGTTTACTTATTAGAAATCTGATCGCATAATTCCAAAATATAGGGTTAGTAGGCAAGTTTTTCTCCAAGAGACATATAAAACAAAACACCATCAATTTTCTGACACACAATCCTACGTCATATTTTTTTAAATGTGTTTAATAGAATATATTATACCGATTAAAATTTAAAATTTAATCCACTCGTTTTTGACAAATCATATATTACATTTGATAAAGACACGATGTTGACGAAACAATTGTTATTTGAAAATATATAATTTCGTGAAAATCCGAACTTTTAGTTCTTATTTATTTTGATAAATGGATTTTCATGAAGTAAAAGCCCCCTCCGTTCAATTTGTGGAAACGAATAAGAAAGACAATCTCTACGTATTTCTGCCGAATTATCCTCTGCTAACTGCAGGTATTTTCACGCAGGAAGGATGTCAATGAAAGAAGTGGACGAACAAATGTTGGCCGTGCAAAATAAAAACAGCAGTTACTTCGTCGAGTGGATCCCCAACAACGTCAAGACTGCTGTCTGCGACATCCCGCCTGTCGGTCTGAAGATGTCTTCAACGTTTATAGGTAAAACCACTGCCAGAAACGTTAAGAACCCATTCTACTATATCAATCGCCCGTGATACCAACGTTTTTATGCACCATATATTAAGATTAAGGGAGGCTTTTGTTCGTTAGACCATAAAGTCGCTTTATTCGATACCTAAATTTAACTGCCTTTACGTCTTCTATCCAGCGCTAGCATTAAAAATCCAACCTTCAATTTGGGTGAAAATTTTCCTGGATAACAGTTTTTTAATGAAACGAATACAGAAAGGTTCGCTTAGAAATATGCTTGAAACGTGTCAGTAATACTGAGTAATTGGGTAGGAAAAAAATCCATGAATTGACTGCCATCGGTGTTGGTTAGTGGTGTACGTGATTCTGTTGAATTTTGTGACGCTTGAACTTCAGAGCTTTCTGACGTGAAAATGTAAATTTGTCAATGTCTAAAATCAGAACTAAAGCCAAACCGAAACCCAAAAAAAAATACAAAATTATTTTGAACATCCGTTGCATATTTACATTCGAAAAAAGCTATATATCAAATATGAATGGTCCACCTTTAAAAATCATTTGAATAATTGAATAGGATTGTTGCCCGACCCTGTACAGGGTAATTGATTACAAACGACAATCGCAAGCTGTCAAAATGAATCGTAGATCTTTTTTCCTGATTTCAAAAACATAGCCATTTTTGGGATATTTCAGTTTAAAAATAATTATTATTCGATTTCTGGACAGTAGCCATATCATTTAAAAATGGTCAAGTCTGTCTTGATAGCAACCATATTATCTATTTTTGCAATTGTTTTAACAATGTTCAACTACTAAAGATCTTCAGCGTAAGTTAAATAATTTAAAATATTTCACATGGATTGTACTGAGGAAGAAAAACGCCAAATAAAAAAATTATATTATTCAAACGGACATAATGTTGCAATGGTTAAAAGAGAATATCGACAAATTTTATCACCTCCTGTATTTATAGAAAATTGGAAGAAAATAATGGAGGTTATGTGGAAAATGTTTAGCATTAATTGTTAACCCATTTGAAATATCTTACGCTGCAGATCTTTAGCTTTGATTAGTTGTCAAAAGCAGAACATTATTAAAACAATTGCAAACATTGGTAATATCGTTGCTATCAAGGCAGACTTGACCATTTTTAAACAAACATGGCTATTGTCCAGAAATCGTATGATAATTATTTTTAAACTGAAATATCTCAAAAACGGTCAAAAGGAGAAAAAGACCTACGCTAATAATATATAGGGCATTCCATTTTAAAAAAATGACGTGGCTGTCATTTTGACAGCTTGCGATCGTCGTCTGTTTCTTCTGACATTTGCATAAGCAAAAATCTTCAAACTTTTAAAATATAATGAAGAACCTAGTACAATGCGTCAGTGTTTCACAATCCATGACATCTACTATCACTAAAATAACCTCGATGTTTTATTTAACAATTCGTAAATAGTTTTGGTTAGGGTTATAAAAATTTTGTTTCTTTTTTTCGACCCCAGGCAATACGACTGCTATCCAAGAGCTGTTCAAGAGAATATCTGAGCAGTTTGCCGCCATGTTTAGGCGCAAGGCGTTCTTGCATTGGTACACCGGCGAAGGCATGGACGAACTGGAGTTCACGGAGGCCGAATCCAACATGAACGACTTGGTGTCGGAATACCAGCAGTATCAAGAAGCGACTGCCGACGACGACTACGAAGCGGAAGAAGAACCCGCTGGGGATGACTTCAATTGCCAATAAACTGTCTGAAAAGTCTGAGCGACGATGTAAAATCAAACCAAGTGCCTCCAGCGATTGATTTGCACCTGCAGAATTTTTCTACTGTTAATTATACGAGGCGATTCATTAATACAAGCAAAAAAGTTTACATGATAGTGTGATTTAATCAATTTAAAAGATATTTAGGAAATTCTCTGGGTAACCAAGCGTTTTTTACGAATTATGCGTCACACACACAATAAAATCATATTATTGAATCGCCTGGTATTACGTTTTAAATTTTTCTACTGCCTCGTTTCATATATGTTAACGCAAACTGAGTTTCATTTTAAAGTAAAATAAGAGTGTCGCGAACTAGTCCCCCGTTTCACGCGTTTATCAAATTACGTATTTTATTTATTTATATATTCGCATTCTGAATCGGCGTTATTTGAATGATGTATAGGCGGTAAGATTTTTATAATTTTTTACAATAAAGTTTTCGAGATAAGCTGAAAAGTTTGGTTTGATTCCGAGTGATGCAGCTCCAGTATCACGATAAAACTTTGTCTTCTTTTAAATATATATCTTAGTAGGCTGCGAAAAAAAAATTGAAGTCCTGCGTCAAACAGTTTTTTATTGGCAGCATTTTAAGCAAGACGTCTCCGAAAAAATGTCGCAAATAACGCAAACTGAGTATAGAGCAGTCATTAATTTTTTTGACAAAAGAAGGGTTAGCCCCTAAAATTATGAAAGAAAGGCTGGATGGTGTGTACGGCCAAAGGTCTCCTTCGTATTCTGTAGTGAAAGAATGGGCAAAACGTTTTCGAATGGGGCAGGAGTCCCTTGAAGATGATTCAAGAACTGGTCGACCAATGGAGGTCATAACGGAAGATATTGTTGCGATTGTGGAAGAGGTGGTATTGAGTGAACGACGTTTAAAGGTCAAGGAAATCTCAGAAATTACTAAGATTAGATATGCATAAGGTTAGTGCAAGATGAGTTCCTAAAAACCTATCTGGTATTCAAAAACAACGCCGTATCGAGTGTGGGCGGTCTTTTTAGGAACTCTGTGGGTCGGAACCGAAGCCTGTGATATAAACTATTGTGACGGGAGATAAAACTATGGTTCTCTATTATGAACTGCTATCGAAAAAAGAATCAATGGAACGGCGTCGTAAGGGTGAAGCACCTCCAAGGAAATTCAGAGTCTGCCAGTCAACAAAAAAGTTGATGGTCACCATCTTTTGGGATTGTGAAGGAATTCTTTTGATTTTGTGGACCACTATGGAACTTTCGCAATTTGATGTCATTTTATTGTGAATACACCCTGTATAAAGTGTCCTTCACATCTCTTCGGTAAATATTAAAATTTGTCGAATGTCGAATGTCGAATGTTATTTTATCAAATATCTTGCACGCCCTGTATAATTGACAGAACCTAAAATTCTCTCTGGACACAGTTTACGATACTGTTCAAATAAAATTATCCCATCTTTAGCAGTTTTGCTAAAGATGGGATAAAGCCAAAATATTGAAAGAAAATTTTTCAAAATTAAAAAAAAAAAATTGGTTTACACTTGATTACGTTTGTGGTAAAACGCGTTATTGCGTGTTACGGTCAAATTCTACTGTTTAGATGTGGGTATCGACTTTTATTTCCCTGCCAAATTTAAAATCGATAGCGACATGTTTGGGTCACTTATGACGTTTTGAATATAGTACGGACTATCCCAAGTACCGTGTACACCGTGTGTTAAATACAAAAGTTCTAGCTGTCCATAAGGGCTATATAACTATGTAAAAACAACGGCAACAGAATCACAGCCTTCTTGTTATGGTCAATTATCATTACAAAGGGAGACCAATTTTCAGTTTTTTGCAAATTACCGACGCACCCTGCACATTTTTAAAAAATCATTAAGAATAAAGGTTTTTGATTCGGATCTTCCGCGTCGTTTGGTTAAACATTTTTTTTGATCGCATATACCATCTCGGAGAAATGATTTTTTTTTCGATACCCTGCAAGTGCGGTTTTTAATTTTTTAAAAATACTTCTCGACTCCCCAGCCCCCCGGTTTCAATAGGCTTCGTTACGGAACTAAACTCTATATATGTGTCAAATTTCTAGTTGATGGCTTCAAATTTCAGACATTTATCGTGTTTCATAGCGAAGTCCAAAAAACAGACCAAAATCGAAAAAAAAAAAAGATGGACGCCTTGGTTTGATCAGACCCATTTTTTAATGGTTTGTGTACCTCGTGCACGGCTTAAAAAGAGCTAAATTTGGAGGTCGTGCTTCAAACCGTTCAAAAGATATAGCCAATTAAAGCCAGGTCTACAGAGAAACGGAGAACGGAGAACAGAAAAAAAGAAGTTTTTTTTTTCGACGCTGATCATATCTGTACCAATGGCGGTCCCCTAAGACCTACCGTCGCCGAGATACAAGTTTCGTTGCCAAGCGCGTATACTTTCGAAAAATTCAATTTCATCGATTTTTTGAAAGTAACAAGACTTCTTAGACAGTTTAATAGTTTGTTTAGATCAAAATTATTTTGGCAAAAATTTTCATACATCCTCTGAGATTTCTTTGGTGGTATAGATGCGTAGATGATGTGCTTGCTTGTTTCAGTGGAACGGAAAGACAAATATAGTCTAGAGACGGGACTGGATAACTCCTCAAACTTTCTGGACTTAACTATAACTAAATTACAGGACAAATTAGAGTTTTCTATTTACCATAAACCCTCACGCGAACACAGTAGCACATAATATCTCAAATCACCCTCGCACACACAAAATGTCTTTTATTCTTTTATCAACATGCAACTAGCAAAAAAACCAAATCTTTACTTGATGACCGGTTGGATTTAAATGCGTGTACGTATTACCAAATAGTTAAGCTTCTTAACAATGCACCAATATATACTAAAAACAATAGAAAAAGAAATGAATTTAAGGAACATCTATTTGCATTTCTGTGTCATAGATTTACAAATGACTATTTGAATGCGTTGTTTATACTTTAGTGAAAAGAAATTTTTATTCCTTTATTATGTCGCAGATCTTTCCGAAGGGTGTATACTAGCCCTTAATTTTGAATCACTACTACTTTCATACTCTGGATTATGTGGAACGACAAACTCGACTTCTCTGAGGTAGTGAACTGAATCTCACACTTGCACTACTCATTATTTTTAATTTACTTTGTATATAAAAATTTATTCAATAAATTAATGTATAACAAGTAAGGCCGCAAAAAAAAGAAAAATAACAATTATATTAAAGGGCTATTATACAGGGTCTCCTGTGGTTCGTTAGGAGTTTTATGTGGACCAAAATTGATATTTTCGTGGAACTTGGTGGTACACACTGTTCTACACGAAATCAGTGGCAACATTGAAATTTCGATTTGCACATTTATTTTTTTATTGTCTTTTCAAATTCGATGTAAAAATTTAAACAACTTCCGCTAACTTACCTGCCAATTAGTTCTCAAAAAGAAAGAAAATATATTATTGGTTCTTGGTTAAATAATACTTATTGAAACAAAAAATGCCAAATACTTGAAGCTTTTCTTACTATGAGTAATTAAATATTGCTATGTTAATTTCCAAACTGCGATTTTTCGGCGTCCCCTGTATAAAATATTGCCAATATTACATGCACAGTTTTTAGGTACAGTCAGACAGTTGTGCGTATCGTAGTCGTGTTGTTTAAATCTTTTTGTACGTTAATATCTTATTATTTACTCATAAGTTACTCTGTAAATAATCTTTTATTTAGTCACAATTTCAGAAGGAAATAAATCATTCGAATAAATTGAAGTACTAAAAAATATATATCCATTGCGCCATCTAATGTCGAAGAGCCAAACTAAGCGGGCAGCCTTACCATTTTATAATAAAAGAAATCTTGCTTTGTTGGTCGCATTGTTCGAGTGGTTAGTTGCTCCACTCTCGCATAGATGGCCGCACTGCATTAAATTTCTGAAACCTAATGATTTATATAAAAAGGGAGAAAAAGGTCAAATTTTGTTTGTAATTTTTAACAAAATTTAAGTAAATTTTAATAATTTCATAAGTGTTTAAATAAACTGTTAATTTGCACATTGTTATTTCTACGTCACCCATGTTTCCAAATAAAAAACAAGTAGTATGAAATTTGGTTAGTCCAACGACTTCTTCCCGTTTGTTATACCTCATTAAATAGGTTTATTGTTATTAAATATTATATTGCGACACTTGTTTTCGTTTATAGATAGACAACACGCTGACTTTCGATTTTTAAACTGTGCTTGATAATTAAAGAAAACATCGATTGTTTCCCGTTTGACGTTATTTTCGTCGTTTTCAATTTTCGCCAGACAAATTGCACATAAACAGCAAATTCTGCTTCGTTTATCTCGACTATCAACAAAAAAATTCAAATAAACATTTGGACTTGTCTGCGTGTATGCGTGTTTGTGCAGACTGACTTTTTAGAGATTAAAACATTGATACGGCTTCGATGCACCTTTGTTGATATTTTGATAAGGACGTATGTCGAGACTATTAATATGGTGAATCTGCTAAATCGATGGAACAACGAGCAATATTGATGTCTAAGCATTGACTTTCCTCAAATATTACTGTGGCCCAGACAATTCTTCCCAGTTGGAAAAGTTGGAAATCGAAACTGAAAATGAGAAGGACAAGGTGTTTTTTTTATCGCAGTACATATTTATTTTTATCGCGTTTACACTGTTTCACTAAGGTGAATAGATCATAAAAACAATTAATGTGATAAACAAAATATATTCCTGCTTTCAAAATTGCCTAAACAGCTTGCTGAACTTTTTGATGTAAGGCAATTTTAACTCTTTATTTTCTTTATTTTATATGGATGCCCAAGATGGAAAAAAGATAGGGCTTAAAAACTAACCTAATCAGTTCTACAAATTTCACAGCCTATCCATCCTATCCTATCCTGAAATAGTTTAATTATCTAATGTTGATATGCCAGCGTTCGCCCATATTGTGGTTATGTACACTCGATAAAAAAAGAATGCCTGTATAGCCACAGTATACTCTTGGGTTCGGTTCCCCCAACACGGCGAAGGCATTTGTGACGTCAGAAGAACTTTACTTTCGTTTTAGAAACATGAAATTAACGTTAAATTACTATAGACTCGCAGAAAATACTGGAACTGTTCGGCCCTAGTTAACTTTACACCAAGAATTTGCCAAATGATTAATTTTCATTTTTTCAAGTCTTCTTCTTAATCTTTTTCTACTAACTCAAGTCCTTTCCGGCGGTCGCCCAACACTTCTAATAGGTGAATATCAAGATTATTGGAAACGTTATGATTTAATCACTAAAATAAAAATAAAAGCAAAATGAAAAAAGAACGAACGAACGAGCATGTGCCGCTAAAACGTAAGACGTCTCAGTTTACAGTCCGCGAGATCTTTATTATCGGCTGCGAAATGTAGGTTTGTGGCGTGCGTTCCGATTGCCAGAGCCGGTTC